TCTGTCTCTGTGTCTCTGTCTCTCTGTGTCTCTCTTCATGTCTCTGTCTCCATCTAAGTCTCTGTCTCTGTATGTCTCTGTCTGTCTCTGTCTCTCGGTCTCTCTGTGTCTCTCTTCATGTCTCTGTCTCTAAGTCTCTGTCTCTGTATATCTCTGTCTGTCTCTGTCTCTCGGTCTCTCTGTGCCTCTCTTCATGTCTCTGTCTCTATCTATGTCTCTGTCTTTGTATATCTCTGTCTGTCTCTCGGTCTCTCTGTGCCTCTCTTCATGTTTCTGTCTGTATGTCTCTGTCTCTGTCTGTCTGTCTCTCTGCCTATGTCTCTGCTTCTGTATTTCTGTGTCTCAGTCTGCCTCTCTCATCTGTACCTCTATTTCTGCCTCTGTCTCTCCTCCCTGCCTCCCCCCCACCCTGCCCCTCTGTCTCCAGGTCTCTCCCCTGCCCTGATCTGTGACTTCCTGCCTCAAGGCAACATGAAGTGACATTACATTACGTTTGGGCCAATGAAATAGATATAGACGCCTACGTTAGCAGGTGGCCCGGCCGCAGTGGTGCTGGGCCCTGACACACAGTCAGCCCCCGGTGCCCTTGCCCTCGAGGGTCCTCCAGCCCAGACCCACCCTGTGTTCTGGCATCTGTGGCAGTGAGCTGCAGGGGCTCTGGGGTCCCCGTCCCACCCGGAATAAGGAGATGTGAGACGCGGTAGGCTCCCCCATCCCACGGAGACACTCAGGATGAGGATTCACATTTCACGTACGCGATCCACCTTTTAGAGGGCCAGGGCTTTGGGGTGCCCCGGCGGCAGGCTCGGGCGTGGAGGAGAACTGACCTTGCACGAGCGTCCCCCGCGGATCAATCTGGAACACGGTGCTGGCCAGCAGAGGCGGGAGCATGGGGGCCAGCGTGGAGACCCCCACTGGGAACTCGGGGTCCCGCACGGTCAGCCTGAGCGTCGCCACCACGCTTCCAGCCTGGAGAGAGACCATCTGTGTCCTCAGCTTCCCTCTCCTGTGCAGGTCGGAGACGGCTGGCGGGAAGGAGTTTTCAACCTGGCCGAGAAGAGGCGACAGGCGCTCACATAGAGCAGAGGCCTCCGTTAGCGTCTTAGAAAACCGTTCATCGGGGCCCGGGTGACCGACGGATGGTGAACAGAATCCACGTGTCCCCTTCACGACCGAGAGGCGGTGCCCAGAAACCAGCCCCTTGGGGCAAGCCGAGGCACCCCAGCGCCCTGCACCCCAGCTGGGCCTCCCCAGGGACAGCCGGGCCCGGCCGGGCCCCGTCGGCCTTGTGCGAGCCCGCGAAAACCACTGCAGTCGGGGTCCCCATCTGGAACATGAGATGCCCCATCCGCAATGTGTGTGACACACAGACCCTGGGAGTGGACGGACAGACTGACTGACGGGAGGGACCCCGGAGGGACGATCCCATGGCTATTTGGAGCTGCCCCCCTCGCTGGCTGCATCCACCAGGAGACACACAGGCAACCAGGTGCCGAGGCCAGCGTGCCGAGCAAGGGAGACACCAGCCTTGCCCCGCGCCCCCCCAACACCGTGCCTGCACACGCGAGAGGATTTCCAGGCAGGAGACTGTGACCCTCCTTCTGTCTGTCCCACGTCTACACGTCCTACAAGCAAAAGCGCTAACTGCCCTTCAGCTGCAGGGTCTCTTTCCAAGACGTCTGTAGGATGAACGGCGTAGGAGGAGACAGCGGTCCCTCCAGAGCAAAGGGCAGACTTGTTCATGTCTGATCCCGTAAAGATAGTGTCTCTCTCCCTGGAGCAACGTTTAGGCGGATTTCGGCCCCTTACAAGATCCCGTTTCCCGAAGCTCGGGGCCGCCCAGCTGAGACGCAGACCGCTGTGTGTGTGTGTCCCCCCCCCCCCCCCCCCCCCCCCCCCCCCCCCCCCC